ACGTCACCTATATATGTCGCGCGTGTCACAGCAAGACGTGCGTCACCTATGTCGCGCGTTGTCGCCAGCAAGACGTACGTCACCTATAGTATGTTCGCGCGTTGTGCGCAGCAAGACGTACGTCACCGTATATATGTCGCGGGCCACACCCGCGTGACGCCAGCAGGAAGTACGTCACCTATATATGTCGCCGTGTCACAGCAAGACGTACGTCACCTATATATGTCGCGCGTGTCAAGCAAGGACGATACGTCACTATATATTCGCGCGTGGTCCACAAGCCAAACGTACGTGATCTATATATGATCGCGCGTGTCGAACAGCAAGACGTACGCTCACCTATATAGTTCCGCGCTGTGTCACAGCAAGACGCTACGTTCACCTATATATGTCGCGGCGTGTCACAGCAAGACCGTAACGTCACCCTATCATATTTCGGCGCGCAGCGCGTGTCACCAGCAAGCGACGTACGGATTTATATATGGTCGCGCGTGTCACAGCAGACAGTCAGCGTCACTATTATATGTCGCGCGTGTCGCAGCAAAGACGTACGTCACCCTATAGTTATTGCTGTCTGGCCGCGTGTCGCCCTAGCAAGGACGATACGGTCACGTCCCCTCTCCACCTCCTACCTTCTACTGTCCGCTCTCTATCGCACTCGCCGTGGCTTTATCTCTCCCTGCCATAACTAATATATAGAATGAGGATCCAACATATACAATATAAACAAGCCATTCATCGACATAAATCCCATATCAGATAAATAAATTATCACCCTGATAATAGCTATCAAATATATACAAATTATATTCATTCAAATTATAGTGTTGCAGCGTGTTCGCAGCCAAGACGTACGTCACCTTATATATGTCGGCGCGGCTGTCGCAGCAAAGACGGTAACCTCACCATATAGTAATGTCGCGCGCTGTCACAGCAAGTACGTACGCCGCCCCGCCCTTCCCCCCCCGCCCCGCTCATCTATATATGTTCACGCGTGACATGTCACAGCAAGACGTTACGTCACCCTATGTCCTCGGCGCGTGTCACAGCAAGACGTACGTCACCTATATATTTGTCGCGCGTGTCGCAGCAAGACGTTACGGTCACCTATATATGTCGGCGCGTGTCGCAGCAAGACGTACGTCATCTATATATGATCGCGCGATGTCGCAGCAGACGTACGTCACCTATAATGTCGCGCGGCCTGTCACAGCAAGACGTACCGTGATCTATATTATGTCGCTGCGTGTCGCAGCCAAGACGTACGTCACCTATATATGTCGCGCCGGTGTCGCAGCAAAGACGTACTCACCTTATATATGGTCGCGCGTGTCGCAGCAAGACGCTACGTCACCTATATATGTCGCGCGGTCGCAGCAAGACGAGTTACGTCACCTAAGTATGTCAGCGCGTCGGTCGCAGCAAGACGGTTACTCAGCCTTATATATGGCCGCGCGTGTCACAGAGCAAACGTACGTCATACTATATACTGTCGCGCGCTGTCGCCAGCAAGACGTACGTCAGTAGTATATGTCGCGCGCTTGTCACAGCAAGACGTTACGTTCATCTATATATGTCGCGGCGTCGTCACAGCAAGACGTTACGCTCATCTATATATGTCCGGCGCGTGTCGCAGCAAGACGTACGTCACCTAGTATATGTCCGCGTCTGCTCGCCAGCAAGACGTAACCGTCAACCTATATATGTCGCGCTTGTCACAGCAACGACGTACGTCATCTATATACTGTCGCGCGTGCTCACCCAGCAAGACGTACGTTTCACCGATGTCGCGCGTGTTCTCACAGCAAAAGACGTTACGTCACCTATGGTCGCGCGTGTCACAGCCAAGACGTACGGCATCGTATATATGTCGGCGCGGCCCGGTGTCACAGCAAGCACGTACGTGCATCATATACTGTCGCGGGTGTCACAGCAAGACGCTACGTCACCGTATTATATGTTCGCGCTGTCACAGCAAAGACGTACGTCACCTATATATGTCGCGCGTGTGCACGCACAGACGTGACGTCACCTATATATGTCGGCGCGTGTCGCAGGCAAGACGTACGTCAGCCTATATATGTCGCGCCATTGTCACAGCAAGACGTTGGCGTCACCTCATGTCGCGCGTGTCAACAGCCCAAGACCGTACGTCACCTATGTCGCGCGTTCACAGCAAGACGTACGCGTCACACTATATAGTTGCGCGCGTGTCGCCAGCAAGACGTACGTCACCTATAATATGTCGCGGGTGTCACAGCAAGACGTACGTCACCTTTATAATGATGCGGCGTGTCACAGCAAGACGTACGTCACCGGTATATATGTCGCGCGTGTCACAAGCAAGACGTACGTTCATCTATATATGCTCACGGGACGTGCGCAGCAAGCGTAGCCGCTACCTATATTATGTCGCGCGTGTCACAGCAAGACGTACGTCACCATATATGTCGCGCGTGTCACAGCAAGACCGTTACGTCACCTATATAATGTCAGGCGCGTGTCACAGCAAGCACGTACGTCATCTATAAATGTCACGCGTTGTCGCAGCCAAGACGTAGGGGGGCGGCGGGGAGGCGTCAGGCGGCGGTAGGTAGCGGTGATGTCTGGCGCCGGCTCACAGCAGACGTACCGTCGATCTAGGTGAGGTATGCTGCACGCGTGGTTCGCCGAAGACAAACCGAAACGTCACCTATTGTTCGGCGCGGTGTCACAGCAAGACGTACGTCTACCTATGTCGCGCGGTGTCACAGCAAGACCGCTACGTTGATTTATATATGTCGCGCGTGTCATCAGCACAGACGTACGCTCACCTATGTCGCGCGTGTCACAGCCAAGACGTAGCCGTCACCTACTTGTCGCGCGTGAGTCATCTCTCTCTCTCTCTCTCTCTCTCTCTCTCTCTCTCTCTCTCTCTCTCTCTCTCTCTCTCTCTCTCTCTCTCTCTCTCTCTCTCTCTCTCTCTCTCTCTCTCTCTCTCTCTATCGCTCTCTCTCTCCCTCCTCTCTCTCTCTTATGCGTGAAGTACGCGCTGTGTGTCTGCTTTACCCGATTTGTACGCGGTTCCCTCGCGGTTGAAGCGTACACGCGCTCGCGTTTGAAGCGTGTTGATATATATACCAGTATCGTGTTTGAATCGCGCGTAAATCTATCAGAATCAACGTGCTTGACCCGCGTGTAAGCCTACCGATATTTACGTGGTTAAAGTGTGTTGAAATCTACCAGGGATAAGCGTGGCTGAAGAGCTGCTATAGTGAGATCAACGTTGAGTTGCCGCACCACCAGCAACAGAACAAAAACTAATGCATTAAAACACACTCACGTCATGTTTCTCCAACTCTGTAGATTGAAATCGGCTTAAAACCACAGGCGTGTTTCCCCTCACAATTTTTTTCTATGGCTTGAAGCGTGCCATCAAAGGTGAGCATCAAAGTGATCATGAATTATTTCGCCTCTCTCGGCGCGCTCGCTCACGCTCGAGTGGCCCACTCGCTCGTGAGAGGCGGAAAAGCCAATCGAAACAAGAAATAGGTCGCATCGATCAAGCCTTGTTCGCTGAACAAGGAGTTTCGTGGAGGCCGCGACCTGCGGGAAATCTGAGTCCGAAACTATACGTACTTGTAAGCTCGCGATCGCTCCACAATAACAACAGATCATTTATTCATCGACGTAAACAATACATTAGTCAATTACGGCGTGCGCTGCGAGCCCCTGTACGAGAGAGCCCGCGCAGAATAGAGCGCGGGCGCCCCTCGACGCATAAGAATTGCAAATGGTTGCAAAATATAAGCTATTATACACCGTGTACAATAACATTACTTTCTATTTAATCGTATTTTGCTGTGCGCTCGTCAGTAATATCGGCTGCGTATTGTGGCGCCGCGAGGCGGAGTGCTGATCGTTGCTAACGTGGTTATAGGACGGCAAGGAGTCCATTGTTATGTAATACGTCTCACAGCGAAGTATAGTATGTAAAAGACCTGCTTCTAAATAGCAGACGGCGTGTTTCTTATACAGACTCACAACGGTTAGGTGGTATCAAGAGCATATAAAGAAGGTTTCCTTCTTTATATGCTTTTGGTGGTATGCTTCTCGCTTTGCAACCGACACACGTCGCCTAGTTCCTCAATCGTGTTATTATCCGAAAGAAATAAAAAAAATCCTTTTATATACTCCTGTTGTTGTAGTCGCGTCACGCAACAGTAAAAATCGAGTCAAAAATACAATGCAAAACATGCAAAAATGTCGCATGAATTCGACGATTGACAAGCCTATAGGTATAAAATATTGAGCTTGAAAAAGAGTAGATTTTATACTCTTCGCAGAAGTGAAATACTGCGGGAGGCAATTCGTACATTCCTTCTCGTGTGTTATTTTGGTTAGAAAGACGGCATTTGCGAACTCGAGAAAACTTCGATGACGTCACTACATGTTCGTTTAACTCAAACACTGCTGATTCTACAGTCACCAACAACAAGCGAAATGTGTAGCTAGTGTGTACGTACATGCGATTCTCTTCTTGAAAATCCCACGAAAGAAACGCTCGCAAATCTACATGCACGAACGTGACCTTTTCTATTTCGCGCGCGTGTTGCGAACGCAGGCCGCCTGTCAATATTGTCGTGTCGCGTGATGTAGGTCACACCGTCTCGACACGGGATTGTCACTAATGTCAGGGCCGATCCATTATTCAGCTGTGTAATGTTACGCTGTTATCGGGGGTACGTGGTTAAATCTTCCTCTTAGTTATACACACGGGACGACACGTCATGCATCACGTTGCCATTCCTTTCAGATGCATGCACGTGACCGACATCGGCGTCGGCTACCTGTCGACGATGACCTCTTTGACCTCGCTCTTCCTGCGATGGTGCTGCCAGCTGCGAGACTTCGGTTTGCAGCATCTGTATAGCATGAGGAACTTGCAGGTGCTCTCGCTCGCAGGTAAGGGCGTAAGTTACGTGTTAGCTCCACCAGTGCACGTCTACCTTCGCTCGGTACCTTCGCTCCGCCGCAAGGGATACGTATACGAGACCGTTTTGAAGAAACTAGTGACGGATCTTAACCTTAGCCCACTAGCGCCGTCGTTATTTCATGTTTAATATGGCTGCGAATGTTGGCAGTATGATCGTATGCCTTCTATAAACGATTCTATATTTTCAATTCTACCAAATTGAGGTGAGCTGAGTTTGAATTCTGAGTGGCGGCCTAATGTTAACATGTTTACCTTTGCGTCTAGCGTCATTTCTATTGTACCGCGGGCTGCGGCGTATCCAGCCATGTTGAAAAGATTTGTCACTGGTTTCACGCGTACTTTCTCCCCTCTGGCAGAGCGAAAGGCTACACCGGTAGAGTTAGTTTTGAGTCCGGCATCAGCGATAGATCAATGTAGGATTGATTAAGCGAACGCGCTTCGTCAATACCAGCAAACAAAACAAAGATGAACGAGATTGGTAAAGGGAAATTTTTTTGCAAGTCCCCGACCCCTGTCCCCTGTGCTGCCGCGGCACATCGTTCAATTTTTAGCGAGATGTGATTCAATAACGATATCCACCCATCCATCCATCCATCCATCCATCCATCCATCCATCCATCCATCCATCCATCCATCCATCCATCCATCCATCCATCCATCCATCCATCCATCCATTCCTCCATCCATCCATCCAATTCATCATTCCATCCTCCATCATCCATCTATCAATCCATCCATCAGCATTCCATCCATTCATCCATCATCATCATTCCATCCATCATCATCATCATCCATCCATTCCATCCATCCTCCATCCTAGTCCATCCATCCTATCCATCCATCCATCATCATCGATCATCCATCCATCATCCATCATCCATCCATCCATCCATCCATCCATCCTATCCATCCATCCATCCATTCCATCATCCAATCCAATCCATCCATCCATCGATCCATCCTACTCCATACCATCCAAGCCATCCATCCATCTCATTCCATGCATCCATCCATCCATCATCCATCCATTCACCATCCAGTCCATTCCATCCATCCATCCATTCCATCCATCCATCCATCCATCCATCCTCCATCCATTATCCATCTCTCTCTCTCTCTCTTTCTCTCCCCCCTCTCTCTTTCTCTACCTATCTATCTGACGGTCTGTTCTTTCAGTCTCCCCCATACTCTCTCTTATCCCTTCACTTTCTCCTTGTGTCTATGGCATGTGTTATCTATCGCTACACAGCTGCTGTCCGCTTCTGCTCACGACGGTGACGTCTATCGGCGTCTCTGTCAACCTGCGCTGCAGCTTCATTGCGCAGCTGGAATCTTAGAGCGAATTGTCCCGGTAGTCGTCGACCTACGAACTATACGCAATGTACTTCTGCGAGCACATGTCACTACGTGCCTCATACCGAGGGTAAGCACTGTACATGGATGAGTATTGCGGTAGCTAAGCTACCGTATCGCTGCCATGGCTCTCTTCAACTGCGAGACAGCCTTCCGGTGATTGACCGACGCCTCGCGGCAGCAGCCGTCGACGTTTCGAAAGAAACATAGATTGGCGGCGAGCTGAGAGAGCCGTTCAAGGCCGCAGAGCCCTAGACGCCTGGAGCAGTCGTCAGCGTTGTAATGCTAATATCGCGCTCCGATAAGCCTGGCAGAGATGCGCGTGTGCCTGCCTGGTGTGCCAACGCGGCGGCCAGTCAGCTGTTGGTATAGTCGTTGGATGCACCATAGCGCATGAATCTAATACACGACACAGAGTGCGCTTGGCCTTCCCTCTCTCTCTCTCTCTCTCCTCTACCCTCTTCTGCACAGCACAACGTTACAGAAAGATGAGCGATGCGCGATGCATGCAGATTGCCCTCACGCCCCCACCCTACGCGCGCAATCAGAAAGAGCAGCAGCATCGTACGTAGCATGCGCCTTGCTGCTTATGAAATACGTAGGCCGCTCTTCCAGAATAGTTGTCGATATATCTTTTTGGTGATGGCGTCATGACAGACTGAAGCACGCCTGTGAGAGAGCGTCGTGACTCTGTTAGTGAGTCACTTGGTTACTACTGCGCGGGAATCGGGAACCTTCGTTATCGACTCTTATCACCGGTTGTGCTCTTCGACGCCTTTGCTCTCCCAGAGCGGCTGCACGTATAGAGAGATAGGGGTGAAAATGGAGCACAGGTCTTGTGAACGCTGGTGGAGAAAGGCGTGACCGGTTGCACTCTCGGAGAAAGCGGCTAGTTTCAAGATCCAGCCTATTATGTGTCCGACATTTACGCGCAACGCAGCTACCACACACATACATACACACACGGCACGCCACGCCACGCTACGCCTACGCACACACGCACTGCCACGCACTTATCACATGTACAGCACACACACACGCACACACCGCACACAAACCACCACACACACTACACAACACACACACACGACACCAGCTCAACCGCACATCAAACACACACACACACACACAGCACACACATCCACACACACCCACAAACACTATACCACACACGCTACGTACGCACGCACACTCCAATGCTCACGTACGCTGGCGTTATCGCGCGCTCCTTCCTCGCGGCTCTCCTCGTCACGTGACACTCGCGGGAAGCTGTGGTCGCTGGCTGACACGTGACGTCGTCGGTAAATCATCGATTGCCACGTTAAAGTCTCGTAGTGGTTCAGCGCCGCTAAATGTTGACGGCAGGACGCTATATTATGTCACAAAAAACGTGAAATCTTGGGTTGTTTTACGGCGGAGTTCGAAAATCTAATTGAAAGATCTGATTTAAAGGTCTGATGTAAAACCCAAACCACCGCATCGCATGATAACATCGCATTGATCTGTACGAGCGCAGGCGAGTACTCACATTTCTTCATCACATCGGTTTGTGTGTTAGCAGCACAAACAGCCCGAGCAATTCGGACGTAGCAGAGCGCAATATACACGAATCACGTCGCAGTGGCAAAGCGTCGCGAGTAATTTCGAAAACAACATCGGAGAGATGAAAAACAAATCACTAGTCGTGAGAGCTGTTAAAAGCGTTCTCGTTTTGAATCTTGGTTTTTGGGGAAAATGGTCGCCTCCGTTTCCGTAATAGAATAGACACACGCATTTCGGTGTAGCGTAAAATTTTCGATAAAAACCGGAAACGGCCTGCGTTTCGTTGCCGGCTAATTCGCCTGTTGTTTTCTCCGAGTGCAATCAGAGTGCCAATAAACGTTATCAGGTGAAAGTTCTCAATTATAAACGTAATGATGTGTAATTGGAATACCATTAAATCACACGCATGCACTCGTGCTCATTGATATAATCTGTGTATATAAACTGCCAGTTACGCAGTTCCTTTTCAATGAATACGGTTACAGCACACTAGCGAACAACGAACTACGTTATCGTGTAATTACGGTGAAGGCTGCCCGTTGAATTATTAATATATGACGCGATATTTACGTCAATGATTGCGATGATGCGGCGAATCTATATTTAGCATTCCTGTGCGCAGATGCTTCATGGCTTTCCATGCATATTTTTATTTATAATAACGCGTATGCGTACGTATGAGCGTACGTACACGATCGCCACAGCAGCCATATATTCTACTGCGCCGAATACTGCATCATCACTCCACTAACCTGATTTGAAAGCAATTAGCGTCCTCCATCGCAATTCCAATCATTAATTCAGCGAATATTTCATGAGGAAACGCACCCCGGCGATGATATGCATACGATCGGGGGACCGTGTGCGCATCGTATTAAGTTTAACTACACATCCATATCACGTCGTTGGTATATTGCCCGGTATATATATATATATATATATATATATATAATAACTATAGTATACACTACTATT